GATGATGATGATGATGATGATCGAAGATGTTAGCGTGAATTATCTCGTTTGGTCTGTTTCATTCGTGAAAAACGGATGAACACTAAGTGAATCCTTTTCTCCTTGCGGCCCGTTCTCCGGATGGATAGCTATCCTGGTGCTTGCAAACCTGGTTGTTTTCGAGCTCATCTTAAAAGCTCCGATACCTAAAAGATACCTTCATGACCCTCCAAGATTGCTCTTTTTAACAACTACAGAAACCTTCGCGCTCTGGTGAATCTATTAACATTTCATTCTCTTTCAGATTCGGGACAGCGAACTGGTAGAAATTGGTCAGCTTTTAAGATCATGTCTACCGGCCTTTCGGAACAATACACTCAGGCGCGCTTGTTGGGATACTTACGGCTCCGATCCTACTTTACTTTGTCCACTTGTCACCCCGGCCAATTGTTTGCGGTCCCCGCTAATTCCACTGATTCTTGCCACCAGTTTACCAGATACGGCCGATTGGATGTGGCGAACCACTTTGCTCCAGCTTCCAATACGACGAGCTGACAGTCTGTCACTGTTTTTGGCCCTAGAAGCAGCGTACCGAAGCGGAAACCTGACTTCCGACCTCTCTGTCCCAGTATACATTCAAGTACGTCTTACATTCTTTAAGATCGAATTACCACTGCTCTTGGAGGATACCGAGGGTGAATCTGCGTTTCCTCATCTCCTATCGCTGCTTGCTAAGGACCTGACCCTTTGCTCTTCCCTTCTGTTGTCAGTTTGTGTGCCAGTAATAGATCATGTATATAATCCACTGGGGTAGCCCATCACAAGAGAACCTCACCTAGAGGTTCATCGGATGTCGGCAAAGGGGGATCGCAACCCAGGTCATGGTGGATGGAGAAAGCTTGTGTGGATTCTACAGGAGAGTATCCTCTTCTCAGAGGATTCCATCCTGGGGCTACTCTGCTGACACTCAGTGGTCTCAGCTGCTACAGTCCTCCTTTTACTGACCTTAGAGAGCGCTAGCT